AGAATTCACCCGCTTGATCTTCAAGGGGTGGGGAGGGGGAGGCATTTCTTATGATGACTTAGATGGGGAGGCTCCGCCCAATGGACGGACCTTTTGCAGGCTTTAGATTCTTCAAAGGGTCACAGATTCTGTTGTTTAGTTGATAAAACCGACGGGAATCTTCCCATCTAGAACTTCATGGAGAATCCTCTACTCCGGCTTTAAACCGCCGAGAACACTGAGGTAGTCTCTAGCGGCATTGCATCCCGGCTTACTACTTTTTTCCTCAAACATTTTACATTGTTATTCTAGCCAGACCCGGCGGAAGTTCTTAGCTTATTCTAGCATTGCATCTTTACCAAATTTCTTTTTAACATTAATACGCTGTTGTTTCAGCCTTTCATTGGGGAAGCTGTTGGAAAGCAAGAGGGGAAGTTTACTTTGATTACGACAAGAAAAGGTGAGACATCTTTGCGCTTTATTAGGTTTTCCAACTTATTTACACGTTAGATAATAATGTAAGGAGATACTGTTCGAGATTTAAAGCATTTGAGAAAGGAATGAGTCGACGGTACACTTTAAAAGAGTCAAAGTAGCTTGGATAAGAACTCAATTCAATTCATTCGCTGTAATCGAGCCTTTTCGTCGAGTTTAAATGTTCACGATTGTGCAATAGTTGATGCATTTTCAATCAGCCGAGTTTTTACGCCCTAAAGCTAAGCTTGAAATTCTATATTGACAAGCGGAAACAGAATGTGATCCTTTCTTTATTTAATCTGTCGATACCATGCTCTGACTGACGCAAAATTGATTAGAGCTTTTGCGTCTCCTTGCATTAAAAAGCCAAAAATGACTCGTATGGTTGTAACTATCAGATATCGGTCTTCTCTCTTATGCATGTTTCCAAGCGATTACCCAACGAACTGTTCGCAAATAGAAACCGAAAGTACAGGGGAGTGTAACCTAAAAAGGGATTGGGGCGAGACGGGACACACTCTGACTAGTGTCAATAGTGGGTTTACCACAGAACCATCAACCAACAAAAGCCCAGAATAGTTGCATCAAGGTCTCCTCTACTTTTTACGTGAAGCGTGATTGAGCAAATTTTTTTCTCGTGAATCGTGATGTGAATAAATAATTCATTCGTGAATCGTGATTAAAGATGGTAAGATCTTTCTATTTCAATATGACCCGTGAATTAAGAGTCAAATAAATCGTGATTCGTGAACCATTTTGTTTTGCGTGATTAATTTCCGGCTACTTTATTGTACGTATTCTTCTCGAATGGCTTTGGTTAGGTGTTGACAGGAGATGGACTTCATGTGGATCGATAAAAGTCGCAAGAAAAGACCACTACTAGCTTGTGTACAGCCGACCCAACCCCTCAAAAAAATCGGGAAGGGGATAGGGCGGCTACACACAGGCTAACCACTACTGGTTCTTGAACAACTAGAATGAACATAGAGGGCATTACATCATCGTTTGTCGCGTAAAACTGGCACGACTAGAAAAGTTAGATGTAACTGACTATGATTGCCTTGAATTTCGCGTGAACGTAAAAGAGTTTTGGATATTATTTGTGATGCGTGAAAAAGGCCAAATAATTTTTACGCGACTGAGTTCTACAAACGGGTGTAGGGGACCCTGTTACATGATATGTCAAGCGATAATTCGTAGATCTAGACAGAACACAAATTTCCCGTCGTTAGAGTCAAGATGTGCTTATTTACATGAGTACTGTTAACTAACACAAAGTTACTTGTACGACCGATTAAAAATTCTTTGCGAAACAAGATACTAGGTAGCTTCCTTGCTTTCCTGCTGGCATACGTGAGCTCATTCGCACGCATGAAAATATGACTTGCCTTTACTGAAGATAATATGTTCCAATGAAACTAGGACCTAAGCTCAAATATTGTCTCCAGTCGTTCAAAGTTATGTTAATTATTACTTTTCGCCGTATCCTGTAGAAAGGTTGATCATAGAGAGTTCCCAAAAATCTTAGTTTAGAATGTCACGCAGCCTAGGGGGCCGTGACATCCCGAGATCCCTCATGCAAGATTACTTTCCTCTATCTTTACGAGACGGTTAGAGGGGAAGTCAAACTCTCTTTTGTCAGGACCACCCCCAAGAGCTAATCCTTGTTGAAATGAGTTCTTTGGGGGAGGGGGTGGTAGGGGCGAAGGGCGGGGTTAAGGGCTGAAAATGATTCACAGTGATGCGAGAGTTTAGATTTGCTTTCAATTGCTAAGTAACTACTTTACCACTGAGTATATAAGAAATTCTACTGCATAAAATTTAATCAAACCTTTAAATAGCTTTTCAGGTATCGATCGAGGCGAAAAAACAGTTTACTGAGGAAGGCCTTTCGCGAATAGTTTGTGTAATTGATCAATTGGAACTGTTTTATTACAGACCCCAGGGAGATCTATCTGTCCAGATGCCTTGAGATCATCGTTGCTCATCATAATAAGGTAGCAATAATGACTCTACAGCCGTTTACAAAAGAACAGTTAAACTACTTCAAATTTGCTTTTGTCGTGCTCAATGAATTTCCAAAGGCATTACGTCAAACCTTCAAAAACAAATGGGACAATATCTTTGGACATCTTCCTGGTTTCCAGAGGA